GAGGTCACCCCCAAGAGCCCTTCCTCTGGCAGCCGGGGGCAGAGAAGACCAGGGGAAAGAAGGGCACCTTTGTGGCACCTCCAGCCAGGCCAGGTCAGGGAAGCGGTCAGCTGGGTTTGGAACTCTTTGGACAGGGACAGCCTTCCTCTTAGGGAGAGGAATATAGAGCCCCATACTTCCAGGTTCAGACCTGGCCCTGCCACATACCACATATAGGAACCTGGGCACTCTATCCTGGTGCTGCTCAAGCCTCAGTGACTTTGTCTGCAAGCTGGGCATAACCTCTGCCTAGGAGGGCTATTGGAAGGAAAGAAATGTAAAGGAGATCTTGTATGAGACATTCCTGGCACACTCTAGGTGCTCAAAACATGGGCTCAAAATGTGACTGGAAGGCTGAGCCCAGAGCTGGGAAGCCCAGCCCTCTCACCCACCTTACCTTCTCTTGGTGGGCCCTGAGACCTTCCATGCAGCCCCAACAGCCCAGATAGGGAGACACGGCCCATGAATCAAAGTCCCATCAGCTGGAAGTGAAGGTACTGGGGAGGGTCTCCACACGGGGCTGCTCCATGGGGTGGCTGAAGAACTCACCGAGTTCCTACACAGAGAATCCTGGCCAGGTCTGAGAGTTGATTGGCTTGCTGTGAACAAAGATGAAGGCTGGGGTGGCGGGGGGCGGATTTATCCTCACTGCCCCTTCCACAGGAGCAGGTATTTGGGGATAAGGTAGGCTCCCCAATGCCTCCTCATCCCCATCACTTCCTCTTTGTCCTAACTTTCTCTGAACTCCCCACAAGAAAGAGGAAAGTAAGCCTGCCTCCAAGAGCCATGATCACCAGTCACCTCTGCTCCTCCTCAGCGCCTGGTTGCAGCCCACCAGACAGTGCAGGCAGCTGCTCGCTGCCTGTCCCCGTGGAGTCTGGACTCTCCAAGGGCAGGGACAGTGGAGAAAGGACAATCTTGAAGTCCGTTTGCCACGTCAGAGCCCAGTCATGGACCTCGGCAAGCCATTCAGCCACTCTGAACCTTGGTTTCCAATCTGTAAAATGGGATCATAATGCCTACCTGCAGGATTTGATATAAATATTGTTTGTTACGTGTCTAGTTCAATGGTCCATAACATTTTTTAAGCATATAAACTCTTGTTCAAATCTCAGAAGAAACTCCAATACACGAAATAGCTCTGTTGGAAGCAGGGGTGGAGGGCCCTAGGACTCTTCTACCACATCCTGAAGACCTGGGGAGTAGGTGTGAAAAGATCTGGCCCCTGACAAGCAACATGGGAACCACCTGGAAGTACCACGGCAGCAAAAGGAGGTGAACAGGTTGACAAACTAGCATCAAACATGGGGTGCATCTCTAGGGGAGACGCATATGGACGCAGGGAGGGGGGAAGACACGAGAGTGCCCTGGGAGTGCTAAGAGGGAGAGGCTACCAGGTGTCCAGTGCCTCACCCCTGGGGTCCCCACTCTGCCTTCCTGTAGGAGATGGGATGAAAAACTGAGAGATCTCCTTGCCATGGCTGCCTCTCACCCATTAAACCTACTTGTTCTCTGTTCTTCACGCAGGTTGAGCCCATTCCTGCCTCCTCACTTTGCCTCCCCCTCTACCTGCCAGCTGGAATGCCCTTTCCCTAAATCTTTGTCTTTCCAAATCTGACTTGCCCTTCAAATTCACATGTCACCGCGTTCTGGTAATCCTTCCATGGTCGTCCCCTCTGACCTTCTCCAGCAGAGAGGGCAGTGGCTGAGAGCTTGGGGCTCAGTTTCTCCATCTGTAAGATGGGAATGTGAGGACTGAGATGGTCCATGTAAAGTCCCAGCACCATCTTGGCACACAGTAGGCACTTAATAACAGTAGCTATTCATCACGATGTTGTGGCCTCCCCCTCCACCCAGGCAGGACCATGGCTCCCTCAGGCTCTGGTACACAGTAGGCATCTACTGAATGCTCACTCGGGTGACCAGCAGGTGGCCCCACACCCCAATTAACCTGCCTTGACAAAATGCTCTGAGCCCTGGGAAACTGGTTCCCTGAGCCTCCAGCTGCTTTCTCCTGGTCATGGGAAACAGAGAAAAGGCAGGACTAGCAGAGTCTTGGCACATTGGCATGTCGCCTAGCAGACACTTGGGCAACATTGCTGACCATGCCCTTTGGACTTGGCTGCCCCCTCCCCTTTTCCACAGCCTTGCCCACCCTTGTGAGGATTACTCCCATTTAAGGGGTAAGAAAACCTTCCACTGGTGGCAGCATGTCTGCCCAGGGTGCCGGAAGGATCTGGCCCTGCTTGATCAATGTCTCCTTTTACTGATGAGGATGGGGAACCTCAAAAAGTGGAACGGCTTTGCCCAAATCCTCATGTAAACCAAAGCTCAGATATCCTGGCTCTAAGCTAAATAACCCCACCCCACCCCACCCTCAGGGAGGGAGGTGGACTTTCCAGACCCTTTCCTGCCTTTGATTCCAAGGGGTGAATATGTTGGGTGCCCAGTAGGACAAAGGGAATAATTTTACCCTGCTGGGTTTAAAGGCAGCTGCAAGGACCCACTAGAGATGCGAAGGCTCAGCCCAAGGAACTTAGGTCTGGAGATGGCTATCCCAGGGCCTATGCCCCCTCCCCACACCTCCCAGAGAGAGAGAGAGTTTCCAGGAGGCCTGGGAGCACTGAGCCCCCTGCAGAGGTTGCAGCAGCCTGCATTCCAGGCTCAATTCTGGCACTGCGGTGGAGGGGCTGAATCGAGGACAGAGAGGGGCTGGTGTGGAATAGCAATGAGCTAGGCTGCTGGAGGCTAGCCAGCACCAGGTTTGCAAGACAGAGAACTCTGCTGTCAGCTGGGTCAGGGGAGCATCCCTGGGAAGCACTGGGAAGCAATGTCACACATACCCACACACACACACACGTGCACTCACTCATGCACACATGTGAATACACCTGTCGTGGATTCTTTATTGAAAACTTCCAGGGACGCCAGCATGGTGGCCAAGTAAATGCCTGTGTCGGAACAGGCTGATGAGAACAAGTGGCCACACAGCTTTTTGGGGTTCACCTAATTCCATCTGATTGTCAGGGGTTTGCTCCTATTTCACAGATAGCCACACTGAGGCCCAAATAGTGTGACTTGGCCAGGCACCCAGCCTCCTCACCCTGGCTTATGAGAGCTGTACCTGATGCCAGAGATCAGGGGACCCCACGTCTCTTCAGCTCTTGGAAGTGGCCGAGCAGACATGGCAGATATGGGAGCAATCCTTCCAACCCTCTCCTTTGCTAACTCCCTCTGCTGCACCCCCACCAAGCTAGCCACCTCCCCTTCCCCACAACAGCGATGGGCCAAGTATTAGAATCCCTCCCTGGGTCTGGGGTGTAGGCCCCTGGCAGATGCCTCCCTGCTGGAACTGCGGAAGCCGCGGTCTCGGATGTGAGAAGGCGGTGCAGGCAGAAGATCAAGATCAGCCCCAGGGAGAAGCACAGACAGGCAGAGCTGAGGGGTGTAGAGTCCTTCTGTCCCCAAGGCTCTGGTCCAGGTCCCTGCAGTTCTGCCTTCAGTCCTATAAACTATCAGACACCCTCCCCAGCCACTGAGCTGCATCAGTTCCCTCTTTGGCTTTAAAAGGCCCTGTGACACCTCCTTCTTAAGCCACGCCCTTCCTCCATAGACCATTTCGAGCCTGAGATTTGGTAGCATTTGTTTGCTGTTTTGTCCTTCTCCCGGAGGAGAGTGAACTCCCTGAGGTGAGAGCCCTGCGTGCAGCTTTCCCTGCTGCTTTCCTCGCACCCAGCGCGGGGGCTCAAGCACCGTGGGTGCTCAGGGCCCAGCGAGGGAGTCTGTCTGCAGCTCTGTGACTAGACAATCTGCTTCTGCATCTGGCCAGTATTGCACTGGGCAGAGTACATGGCGAGGGTTGGTCTGAACCACAGGCTCCACGAGGTCCCCAGAATTCATCTGGGGGGCCCAGGGGCCCTTCAGAAGCGTAGGCCACCCTCCTTGAAGCCCAAGGCTTTGCCCGAGGTTCAGGAAACCCGGGTGATGCTGCTCTGGGAGCAGGCCCTTGGGAGTAAAACCCCATGGGTGGCGAATGCCTGACTTTGGGGGGCGGAAAGTCCCAGAGATAGATCTGGGGCGGGGTTGCTTTTCCCTCTAGCAACTTCAGGTACTTCTCTCCTTCCTGATGGCTAAGGATGCTGGGGTGGCAAGTGGGTCCTGGGCACGAGCCATGCACCAGGCACCTGGATAGGCACCTCACACGCATCCTCTGCCTGGATCCCCCAGATGACTCCCTAGGGTGGGCACTACCGCCCCATCGCAGTTGAGGAAATTGAGGTGGGAAAGCTGGGGGACTTGTCCAAGGTCGCCAAGCTAGGAAGCAGCCCGCATCTCAGGAGTGCTGGCTTCTCCCTGCCTTCTACCATCTCCACCCCTTCCCCCACGCCTTGAGGGGACAGGAGGTGGAGGGAGAGCTGCAGGTGCTAGTTGAGCTCTTGGGAAACTGGGAGGTTTCAAGATAGGAGCTGAGGGAATATGCCACAGTCAGGCCCCACCTCGAGGCTGCCCGCAAGGGCTCCCGAAGGCTGTAGGTGCTCTACAGCAGGAATAGTCAAAAGACAGTCTCCAGCGTCCCGCCCCCCCCCCCGATATTCTCGCTGCCAAATGAAATCTGGCAGCTTCTGAAAATAGCTCAGCGCTGCAGCAGGCTCTCCGCCCGCCCTTCAGCAGGCTGGCATGCAGCTGGGGGTGGCCGCTGTGGGCAGACGCTGGCGCACGCGGGGCCCGGGGGTGGGTGTCACACACAAGGTGCGCCAGGCGCCCCATAGCTGGTGGCATGAGGAAGCTGCCATGCGTCTGCCTCTCTGTCTGACCTGTCCACGCCCGGCAAGGCCACAGTGGCCCTGGAGCCAGCCCGCATGCTTACTAGGCCTAAGGGGGGGATCACTAGTAGGTGTGAGCAGCTGCCCTTGGGCTACTTTTGTCCACTCGTGTAGACAGAGACACCCAGGAACCAGGAGGAAACGCCAAAATGGTATTTATTACTATCTACATGTAAAACCCAGCAGTGTTTTCCTATCTGATGTGGGCTAGGGTTTCCCAGCCAGCGAGAGAGAGGTCAGGGACCAGGCTGGATGTCAGGCACTTGTCGGGCCCATATCAGGCACTGAGAACCCTGAGGCTACCCGGGGCAGCCGTGGGACTGGGTAAGCTTAGACCAGCAAGGAAGGGATCCTCTCTGTTCCGACTCAGGCCAAAGCTGGGACCCAGAACCAGACCTTCTAAGCATCACTCAGTAGCCCTCCACTGCCTGGAGTCTGACCCAGAGTGTAGAAAGAGATCCCTGATTAATGGGGAGCCCCTGGGTCCTGCCCCCAGCCATCCACTCTCACAAAAGTCCACGAGGAGGCAGCCCCTGCCATCAACCAGGACAAGGTGGAGGATGAACCATTACAGAGAAGCTTTCCTGCCTGGGAACCGGTGAGTGGGTAGGGGCAAGAGAACTGTACTGGCTTGTGTCACAGTGACATTTTCCAAAGTAGAAAAGGGTTAAAAATACCTCCCACCCTCCCCTGAGATGAGAGGCCACTCTTTGGGTAAGGGGTAGTAACAGCATCACTAGGCCCAGGGACCCTGCGGGGAGGGCGCTCCAGGGGCCCTGTGGGATGGGGTTGCAGCAAGATAGGGCTGGACCACCCAGCGAGGCAGGCAAACTGACCATGGGCCTCAGGAGACCAAAGGGAGGGAGCCTGAGAGGGTGGAGCAGTGTGAAGGAGACCAGCCGCCCCAAGGACGCAGAGGCAGACCCCCATTGCCCCTTCTCCCTCCCTTGCTCTCTCACTCAGCATTCACAGACAGCAAGCCGGTCCCTGGTCACCATGGCAACCCATGGCCAGATGCCTTTCCCAGGGCCAGGCCCATCTGTCCACCCTACAGGGCGGTGTCTCCAAGGGAGGAGGGAAGCCCGCCACAACTGCCGGTGGCCTAGAAGTCTAAAGCCATGCCCCAGCGTGCCCAACAGAGCTACGTCTCACTCAGGCTGCTCTGGCCAAAGGCGCTGCAGCTGGGGCAGGTGGCTCCCTAACTCCAGGCCTCCCTCTCTAAGGAGGTTTGGAGTCACGGTCCCCCATCCTGAAGTTCTAAGTGACAAATTAAAACACAACAAAATGATCCTTTTGTTAAAAACAGTGACCCGGGGCGTCAGCACGCTCCTGTCTGTCCCCAGGCTGAGAGGCCCGGCCCATCCAAGGCCCTCATCCAAGGCCCGGCGTGCTACTGGTTGTTGCAGCCCTGGGAGGCTGAGGAACCGTCTGCCTGCTTCTTTCTCCGCTTGTTGAGCAGTCGGTTGTTAGAGGTCTTCAGGTCCTTGATCTGCACCTGGTCGTAGTCCACACGCATGGTTGCCAGGGCACTGGTCATCTCCTCCTGGTGACAGATGTCCGTGGAGGTCAGGACGGACTGGCCTCAAGAGCCATCACCCTCCTGCCTCCAGCCCCTTACTAATGTCAACGAGGGCGGCAACAGCTCTGCTGCCTGAGCGCCCACTGTGCGCCTAGCACTGGGCCATCCCCTTGTGTCCCCTAATCCACACTGTAGTGCTCTGTGGTGGACACTGAGCTTATCCACCAAGGCACAGAAAGTATAGTGACTCCCTGTGACCACACCTAGGGTAAGTAGGTCAGGGACCTGGACCAATGTCACCTGCTAAGAACCACAGGTCTGCAGGGGACACCAACTTGTGGGGCACACAGGGCACTAAAGCCTGAAGATTGGGCCTGGGGTGCCCTGGGGCTCTGAGCTGCTGTCCCCTATGCTGAAACCAGGCTGACCACCCTCCCAGATGTAGATTGTAAGGGGGGTTATGGCCAAAGCCCCTTCCTTCACTGAGCCCCCGGCCCCGAGTCCCAGTGAGCCAGGAGCACCACCCTGAATGTAGTAGTGCGGCCCAGTGCTCTGGGTGCCCCAGCTGGACCCCTGGTGCAGTCTGTGACACCCCGGGCTCTCACCCCAGGGGAGGGGATGATGACCCAGGCTCTTGGTAGCCACCACCCTGGAGTCCCTTTTCCCAAAATCCTGGGAGACTGAGACAGCAACAGCGTCCACCCACCTTGACCTCATCCCAGTGGTCTCTGTCCTCCTGCAGCACGCGGGCCGTGTGGAGTGGGGTCTGTGGCACCACCATTGATTGCTGGAAGGAGCCCCAAACCCTTGGATTAGAACAGGCACCGGAGACGGCCCTGGCTCCCCAGCCCCACCCTCTCTCCTGGTCTCAGATATGGGAAGCAAGGCTCAGGGAGGTGAAGGAGCCGGACTGGAGCAGGGGCAAAGTCAGGCTCTCGGCGGGGTCCTGCTGCGTCTCTGTGGCCTGCACCAGGGCCTCCGGAGCCACCACCCTCCTGCCCACAGCCCCCCCTCCAGCTTGCCACCCTGCCCGCCACAGGACAAGGAGGCACTCACATTGATCCAGGGATGGTTCATGAACTGTGTGATGGTCAGCCTCTCTGTGGGGTCTGTCTTCAGTAGGAGGCGGATCAACTGCTTGGCTGGGGAAGACAGGGGAGTGGGGAGGCTGCAGAGTTCCTCAGAGCCAGTCGCCCCAGTTCTGCATGGGCTCCCGAATTCCTAACCCACAGAAACAGTGAGCTAACAACTGTTTCTTGTTTTAAGCCACCACGTGTTTGGGGGTAACTCGTTAAGCAGCCATGGAGAATGGGTACAGGGCAAATTTGTCTGTGGTCCCCAAAAGGGAAATACTAAGAAGGGGTAGGAGTTAGAGGATGTTTTGAGGAGGCAAGTTTTGAGCCCATTTAGCAGATATAGAAACTGAGGTTCAGAAAGTTTGGGTGACTTGGGGCGCCTGGGTGGCTCAGTCGTTAAGCGTCTGCCTTCGGCTCAGGTCATGATCCCAGGGTCCTGGGATTGAGCCCTGCATCGGGCTCTCTGCTCAGCGGGAAGCCTACTTCTCCCTCTCCCACTCCCCCTGCTTGTGTTCCCTCTATCGCTGTGTCTCTCTCTGTCAAATACATAAATGAAATCTTTAAAAAAAAAAAAAAAGGAAAGTTTGGATGACTTGCCTAGGGTCCCTAGCTGGGAGATGGGATGTGGGATGTCACACACCCAGGATTTGAACACAGGTTGCTTTGACACCAATGTGGTAGGTCCCAGAATGAAGGCTAATGGGGTCCAGCAGAGCAAGCTGGGGCAGAGAGGTTCACTCACCATCTTCAGAAACCTCCGACCACTCAGGATTGGGGAAGCCATACTGTCCTAGGCGGATCCGCCTCTTCATCCCTGGGGAGATGGCCTGGCCCGTGTTGGAGTAGAAGGGCGGGAAGCCACACAGGCTGGGAGAGAGTGGAGGTCATTCGGCACAGGTGTGAGGGCAGCGCCAGGGTGGACCCATTCTCCTCCCCGAATCCCTGACTGGGAAGACAGGCAGCCACCAAGGTAGCCACCTGGGCAAGAAGACCAGCCCTCTGGACTCTGGGCTCATCCTAGGAATGCCATCTGCCCTTGGCAAGGAGAGACCTTCAGGCACCCTGAAAGAGGGGTGTCCCCAGCCTGCATGAAGAATGACCCACTCAAGCCCCTCACCAAGGGTTGGGGGAGAGGAGGCAGAAGTGGGACTGAGGGTAGCAGGGGGCGGTGGTGTAGGAGGCAGAGGCCGTGGTACTCACAGGATGTACATGATGACGCCCAGGGACCACATGTCACATGATTTGTCGTACTTCTCTGGACCCAAGACCTCAGGAGCTACCAGGGCAGAGGGCACAGGAGGGCTCTCAGCCCCAAGGGTCTTGGAGCCCAGACAGGAGCCTGAAGCCTGAGCAAGGTGGGGAGCAGGTACCTGGGTTGGGGGGCGGGGCAAAGCAGACTGGTGTCTGGCACCTTCTGGGAAGGCAGCATGTGTGTGAAGTTGAGGGAGGAAAAACAGCTCCCAGAAAAAATAAACCCACTTTTAGGCTGGGCTGTAAGGAATGATAGCCTCCTAGCTTCTTTGGGCCGCTATCGGCCTTTGGTGAGGGAGGAAGGGGAGGAAGGCCAGTCTGGGATTTGGTGGGGTCCTGCCATAGGCAAGAGGGCCTCCTCCCCCCAGCAGCCCCGTGTCCCTTGTCCCCCTGAATGCACATCCTAGCCCACGGGCAAGGAGGGGCCAGGGCAGGGCTCTGGTTTCTGCTTTCAGCTTGGCTACCATCCCATGGGGCCTTGTTCTTCCCACCTGTGCAATGAGATGGGTAGGCCAGAAGATTTCTGAGCCAAAATACTGCAAAACACGTCCTGGTAAACAGGATACCATTTCGGCTGTCTTGGGGGCTCCCCACTCCTTAAGCAGCTCTCCTGGAAGGTCTCCCCTGAGGGGAAAGACCCTCTGTAATGCGAGTCATCACGCCTCTCGGATAAGGAGCACCTTCAGCAGGGGCTTTTCCAGATCTGGGCTACCTGCTCATAAGGGAGCAAGGAGCTTCTCCAAGGAAGGAAGCATGGGTATGTGACACCCCCAAGTCCTATCCCTGCCCTGGCCTAAGGGACCCTCGCCCTGGAGACAAGGGGCTGGTGCCCTGTATCCTTCTAATGTAATAGGAAAGGCCTGCCTACTTTCTGAATATGAATCCCAGAAAGATAAAAACTGGAGAAAAACAACCGCGGTTGGGCTCCGTCCCAAGCTGATGGCAGCCTTTTATCACGTATATATTTAGAGCTGCTGTGATGTCATTCAGCTCACAGGCCACAGCCAGAATTTTCCTGGATCTATTTTCAAAAGCAGAAGCTGAAGTTTGGGAGAATATTTTTGCAGCCTCCGGCCCCCCACATCACCGCCTCCACGAAGACAGAATCCCTCCCTCCCTCCTTACTGGGCTTTAACCCTTTGGCTTCTGCAACCCACGGGCTGCCCCACACAGCAACAGGGTCCAGTGGGGGTAGGGACGTACAAACCACGTCCCAAGGACTCACCCACGTAATAGGGAGTGTAACAGGGTGTCTGCAGGGCATTTTGGGTGGTCTCCTTGGCAAAGCCAAAGTCAGTGAGCTTGAGTACTGCATCTTTCTCCTTGGACGTGTAGAGCAGGTTTTCAGGCTGGGCCAGGAAGATAAAGCATTGGTCTGAAGTTAGGCACCAGGTGGGGGAAGAGTTCCCAAGATGATCTTCAGGCAGACTTCCTTCAGCCCAATCAATTCAGGAGGAACCAGCTCCATCTCATTAAAAAGACCTGGGCCTTGGTCACCAACAATGTAGGTCAAATATGGAGAAGACCAAGGTGGCTGAGAGGTGATGCCTCCTTTCGCAGAAGGGAAACAGAGGCAGGTGTTCAGCCAAAGCTGAGAAGAGCTAAGTACCACAGAGAGCCCAGGAGTAGGAACTTCAGAGCCTGAGTTGGTGATGCTGTCATGAAATACCAAAATGAGGATTCCAGGCAAGGTAGGCAGCTCATGTTGCCAAGCACTTGTCCGGTACCCAACCCAGAACAAGGCAGCAGGGCAGCCCACCTGAGGCCACTCGGGGAGAAGGCCCCTGCCCCTCAGGCCCCAGGCGCTGCACAGAAGCAGTTCTTCCTGGTTGCAAAGCACAGAGAGGCCTAAGAGGAGAGGACAGTGAGGAGGTCTGCATGGAGGAGGCAGCCCTGAAGCTGGTTTTTAATGAATGGGTAGGACCTAGGGCCATGGAGGAAAGGGGGGACCCTCAAGCAGAGCTGGGGTAGAAGGACAGGGTGTTGGATGGAGTTCCAGTTTGGGGCCAGTGAAAGCCTTTTCTCTGGTTCTATTTGAGATTATCCGACCTTGGACTGGGGTGAAAACAGGAAAGCACATTTAGTCTATACAAGGGAGTCACCTCTACAGAAGACTGTTCTCTCCTTGGGGAAAAAAAGGAAGGCAGGGCCAAAATAAAGCAAGGGTTCAGAAGGTGAGTTTGTCGTGGCTCCACGTGTACCCAGAATCAAGGGATAAACGGGCTGGTGGTACTCAGCCAGAGGAGGAACCTGATGCCACAGCTGGGCCCTCAGCAACTCTCGGCCCAGTCTCAGGACGAAACAGGCCTCAGGGTAACGCTCCAGGCCTGGGGCAGCGGGCTCGGGACTCGCAGATTCTGCTCTATGGTGGCTGGCACGTACGTGCGTATGCACGTGGGGTGCCTCACACAGGTCGCGTTTTCCCCATCTGGTCCTGATGACCTCTAGGACCCAGCCCTCCCTACACAGGACATTTGGAGAGCTGAGCCTCCAGAACATGTCTGAAGCCCATCCACTGAAAGGGCAAGCAGGCCCAGGAACTGGGACTACCTCTGCTCGTTCCTCCTTGCCTCCCAGCTAACGGCTTCTTTCCCTGAAAATGCTGGCATTGGGGGCGCCTAGGTGGCTCAGTCGGTTGAGCCTTTGACTCTTGATTTCAGCTCAGGCCATGATCTCAGGCTCCTGGGATGGCTCCGTGCTCAGCGGGGAGTCTGCTTGAAGGACTGTCTCCCTCTGCCCACCCCCTCACCCTCTCTCTCTCTCTCAAATAAATAAATAAATCTTTAAAATAAAAAAAATCCTCGCTGAAAGAATGAATGAATGAATACCGGTGTGGCGTCTGCGCAGGCTTAGGCAAGACACAATCTCTCTGAGACTTGTTTTCCTCATCTGTAGAATGGGTAATGGCAACGATCCCACAGGGTTATGTGAGGATTAAACAAGATGCTTGTCAGGGCCTACTGACTTGAGGTAGGCACTCAGTTGTTCTAAAGCCTATTGGGATTACACAGTGTTTGAAAGAAACAAGGAGACCCATCTGGCTAGGGCAGGATGAGTATGCTGGAACCATGGGAGAAGTGGCTGAGAAGAGCAGTCTGGGCTAGGGGACAGAGGCCTTGAATGCCAATCAAGGAAACTTGCCTCCATCTAGTGGGTGCTGGGAGCCACTGGGGGTTGTGTACTCCCTTCTCTGGTCCCCTAACCTTGAGCCTCACCTTGACATCTCGGTGCGCGATGTTCTGGCTGTGCAGGAACTGGATGGCAGTGCCGATATCCCGCATGATCTCTGCAGCTTCTGCAGACACAGACAGAGGAAGGGCCAGTGATGCCAGGCCAAGGTCGGGTAGCCTGGGGCTTCCACCCAATCATCCCCCCTGGAACAGCACAAGATGGTGAGAGCAGTCCTGCTACCCAGGACCCATCCTATACCCCCACCCCAGTCATCCTAATTTCCTCTGGGGATGTCACAGCCCACCTGGACCTCTTTCCTCAGGCCTGGGCCACCTCTTCCCAGCTCAAGTGTTGGTTGGTACCAAGAGGCTTTGAAGCCTCCATCCCAAGGCCATGGACAGTCCATCTCTGACAAGGTGTTATGAACTCATAGAACTCCTTGGGGTATGGACACTCTGTCCCATCCTCTCTTGTTCAGTGGGGGAGACTGAGGCATAGAGAGGAGCAGGGCCTTGCCCAGCATCACACAGCAACTCTGTGCGGCCCGTCTCAATCCAAATGCCCCCTCTGGTCCTGCTGTACACACCTACCTCTCTCGGTGAAAGCCTGGTCGCCACGCTCCTGAATCCGGCTGAAGAGCTCACCACCTTCCATGCTAGAAGAGAAAGTGACTAGAAGCAGGGCCCCCTGAATCAGGTGTCAGCCTGCTCCTGGCCTGAATCATGGGCCCAGAGCTTAGGCCCGGCCACCCTGCCCCTGGGAAGTGGTTACGGGCAGCCTCCCTGTGCCCTGCAGAACCTGGTGCATAGGAGGCCATCAGCTTGGGTGGGTTGATCTGGACTCTTAGAACTAGGGTAGGCTCAGGTCCTCAGATCATTGCGGGGGGGGGGGGGGGGGCTTGTATTCCCACGGGGCTGCCCCCACCTGGCTGAGCCTTGGGCAGCCCAACCCTCATCCAAGTCTCAGTTCCCTCAAATAAGGGAGGAGATGTCAATTGTCATCATCATCACCACTGTTTTCTGAACACCTACAGCGCTATGTGACCCTGGCCTGGTCCCTTTACCTCTCTGCGCCTCAGCTTCCTCCTTTGTAAAATGGGATTTAGAGCACCAGTGTCACAGAGTTGTGCAAACTGAGTAAGCAGTACGCGTGGAGCCCTGAGAATGGAGTCAGGTACAGGGCGAATAGCACGTTAACATCTTCCTCCACGTCTTATGTGGCAGTTACAGAAATTCAGAGAGGTTAAGAGCTACCCAAAATCACAGTTAGTTGGTGGTAGAGCCAGGATCTGAACCTCAAATCTGACTCAAGGGCTGCTAACCTATAGGATGAGGGCTGCTTAAAGGTGGATGGGGAGGAGCTTGAGGTCCAGACACGAGACCCAGCATCTGAGGAAGGCTAGGGCTGAGCCACAGTGCTGTTGGGAGAAGCCCAAGGTAGAAGAGGCCGCTGGCTCCTGGATTACCCCGTGGTCTCCTGGGACCACGGGAGCCCAAACCCAGGTAGGAAGGAGAAGGTGGAGGTGACAGTGTGTGTCCTGCTCCTCCCAAGGTAGGAGGCTTTGAAGCCTCCATCTCAAAGCAATGGACAGTCCATCTCTGACAAGGTGTTATGAATTCATAGAACTCCTTGGGGCATGGACACTCTGTCCCATCCTCTCTTTTTTTTTTTTTTTTAAAGATTTTATTTATTTATTTGACAGAGAGAGAAACATAGGGAGAGAGGGAACACAAGCAGGGGCAGAGGGAGAGGGAGAAGCAGGCTGCCCGCCGAGCAGGGAGCCCGATTCGGGGCTCGATCCCAGGACCCTGGGATCATGACCTGAGCCGAAGGCAGACGCTTAACGACTGAGCCACCCAGGCACCCCTGTCCCACCCTCTCTTGTTCAGCGGGGGAGACTGAGGCATAGAGAGGAGCAGGGCCTTGCCCAGCATCACATGCTCAGGGCTCGGCTGCCTTCTCTGACCCCTCTTCCAGCCCCTCCTCACAGAGTGACAGCACACCCACGGAGGCCATATTGGAGCCCCTGGAGTTCCCTTCCCACACAGACGGAACGGCCTTGTGGCCAGCTGCACAGCTCCATGGGCAAGGCCTGCAACTGCCCTCCATTACTCCTCAGGGGCTGGGGTGCCTCCCGCAGCTGCTATCTTGAGAGCGGAGAGGGCCCCTAGAAGAAGGGTGGGAGCCTGGGGGCCACAGGAGTACCGATGAGGCCCCGACGCAGGGTGGGCCAGCATACCACTCCATGACGATGAGGAGACAGCGCTTGCCATGGTGCATGTTCTCATACACGTCCAGGATGCGCACAATGTGAGGGCCCCCCGAGGTCTGCCAGTGGTGGTCCACCTCCTGCCGGGCCTTGGGGCTGTCATACAGGAGCTGAGGGCAGGTAGGCACAGACAGCATGAGGCACACAGCCCACTTCCCCAGCAGCCCCCCACTAGTGTCACCGCCCTCACGTGGCAGACAAGAATATGTAAGCTCAGAGAGGCCTGTGACCTGCCCAAGCTTGCCCAGCTTATGGAGGGCAGAATGAGGATTCAAATCCAGGTCTCTCTGACTTGTGGTCCAATGACCACAAGAAAGCCCTGAGAGGTGGCTGACAATTGGAAAGGCTCAGAGGCTGCTTACAGAAGCCCTGCCTCCCTTCTTGGGGGCTGCAAGTCAAGTGGCAGTTGCGCGGGCTTTGTAGACAAATCACACATCAGATGTGAGACCCCAGGCCAGGGGCCACACATCCCTGGAACTGCATTTTTCCAATGGGATGGCATAAGAGTTGTAGACCCAGAGGTAGAGTCTGGGGGCAGGAGGGACCCTAGCTGAAGGAGGTGACAGCCTGGTCGGGTGAGGCCTGGGTTTGGGGCTGAATTCCTCCAGTGACTCAGTATGACCTCAGGTGAACATTCACAGCTCCAAGCCACAGCCCACAACTCCGTAAAATGGAGTCATAACGGAGCCATCCCCACAGGATGCATCACGGCAAGGCACGCAGTGGGTGCGCGGGCATCAGGATCCCTGCTCAGGTTAACTCAGCCCTAGGCTATGGCCGCCAACCAGAAGGCCAATCACCAGAAACGAGCAAGGCCCCAGAGGTCCTGCTCAGAGGAGGAGGTGTAGGGGAGGAAAAGTCAGCATGCAGGGTGAGGTGGTCCAGAATGCGGACAGCAGGACAAGCCATCCTCCCACAGCGCTGCTCACCTGAGACCCCGCCCCATTTGTTTTCTAGTTGATCAGGGTTGAGGACCAGGGTCAGAACTCAAGCCTGGGGCTCAGAGCAGCTTCATCTTGCTCAGCCCCCACAGGACCCTGGGCCATTCCTGGCCTTGGTCTCCTCGTCTGCAGGATGGTTTCCCCTCTGCCAGGGCACTGTGTGGGGCAGACTCTGGGACCAAGCTCTCTAGGCAGAGGTAGACTGAGGCACGGAGGAAGTCAGCAGGTTCTCGCATCTGCTGCCCCGTGGCTGTTCCTCCATCTCTGGAGCTGCTCACCTTGACCCTAGCCTGGGGGTGAAAGAAGCCGGGCAAGTCCCTCCACCAGTTTTGGGGGTCCCTGCTCCATTAAGCAGTCCAGGATGGGGGTGTGCATAGAGGCTGCTGTGGACAGACTCCCAGCCTGGAAACCATGAGTCCCTTGCTCATGCTGCCCTTGCCTCCCAGAACATCCTCAGCTCCGTGACCACACAGCTCCTGAGCACCAGCTTCTTGCTCACGGTGCTGGGGGCAGGGGCTCAGTCACCCCCACTCACCACACCAGCTCACCCCCACTGTGGCTCTAGCCAGGGGTCCCCCAGTCTTTAGCCACAGGACCCAAGATGCACCATCCTCCCTCCCTGCTCTGTCTCTTCTGCACCCTTTTCTGCATGGCCTCCCTACACTTCTCCCTGCCCCCCTGCCATCTCCTCCCCAGTCTGGCCTGACTCTCCAGGCTGGCTCCTGGATCCCCTCCTCACTCCGCCCTGCTCCTGGCATCTCACCCCTACACCCGAGTCCTCTCTCTCCTCTCAAAAACTCCCAAGTACACAGCTGGAAACCTCCCAGTGGGGTCCCAAGCCCCACCTATCCTTGTCCCCACTCTTTAAATCCCCACCCCCATTCCTCCAAATAATGGCTACCTCCTCCCCTGGCCTTCAGGCTTGTCTTGCTCTCATTGCCTGCTATCCCTTGCCCCCAGCCCTTCCCATTCTTGTCAGAATGATGTACTTGCTGACCCGAACAGCCCTCACTCTGCCTATTCCACGTACACTCTTGCCCTTCTCCTTCTCCATTGGGTCAACGCCCTCTTTTTGAGGAAGCTTCTGGGCTCAGTTCAGATGTCCCCTCCTCTGGAAAGACCTCCCAGCACCTCCCCTCTAGGGTTTTTGCCTCTATACCTCCCACCAGGCTGAAGGCAGCTTTAGGGCAAATCAGGGCAGGTTGGCCTGCAGGTTCCTGGCTAGGGCCGGCAGAAAACACTGGGCTCCTGAACAAACAAAGGGTGGGAGGGTGGACATGGTGCTAGAAGGAAGGTGTGGGAGGGAGAGGAGGAGGGGAGTGTATGGCCAAGGAGGGCCCCAAAGGCCTTATGGCCTGGGCCTGTGCCCTGTCTTTGCTGAGGTGGAGAAGCAGGTGGAGCTGCCCTGAGCTGGAACCTCCGAATGCCCCCCACCCGACTTAGTCCATATTTAGGAACCCATTTCCCACATGGATTAAAATTGTCCTTTTCTGAGTGCCAAGACCCTAAGAACAGGCACAGGGGTGGGGAGAGGGCTGCCCCCAGAAAACACAGTAAATGTCCCCACTGGCCTCCCTGCAGGGGAGATCACAGGGGCCAGAGCCCAGGCCCAGCTGCCAAGAAACCTCCTGGGCTGTCACTCTTGATCCCTCAGGTTGGCCCTGAGTGTGGCCCCAAACCTCCTAAGCCTCAGTTTCCTCATCTGCCTTCTCCATAGCCAGAGCCTTCTCCTCTTCCAGGAGTCCCCCCAGTATCACCTCCTCTCAGAAGCCCTCCCTGACCACCCTGACTGAAGAGGACCTCAAGGATCCCTCATTCTCCCTTCAACTCTTCTTTACATATATATATATATGTGTGTGTGTTTGTGTGTGTTGTTGGTTGAGGTACACTTCACGTACAGTAAAATGCACACGTCTCAAGAGTCCAGCTCAATGAGTTTTGACAGCTGCACACCCCGCCATGACCCACACCCCCAGCAAGACAGAAACACTTCCAGCTTCCCAGCGAGCTCCCGCATCATCGCCCTTTTTACCTCCCTCCTGTGCAGTGCCGGCTCACAACCTACAATTAGTGTTCCTTTGATAACTCTTTAAACAAACACACGCATACAAGTATTGCACTTTCAATGTACTTGGCTCTGTTCTGAACACTTCATAAATATTAGGAGCAAGGGGCTTCATTATCCCCGTTCCTTAGCTGAGAAATGGAGGCACAGCAAGGGGAACTAACTGGTCCCAGACCACGTGGCTGGTGCCCCAGCCAGGCTGGAGGGAAACAGAGGCCCAGAGAGGCAAAGGAAGGGCAAGGGCACCGCCAGCCTGCCTGGTCATCCCTGGGTCCCAGTACTGGGCCTGGCACAGAGCACTGGCTGATGTAATATTTGTAGATTTATGGAACAAATCTATGAAGTGGGGTTAAGAGGAAGAAACACTCACAACCCATCATGAGGACAGAATAAGATTAAATTGAGGAAGACCTAGGAAGGCTCAACAACGAGAGACATGACAACCTGGCCGACCTTGCTCCCCACTCCACCTCACCCACCCTCCCTGGTGAACCAGACTTTACCTCCTCTCCCAAGGAGCCCATCCTGACTGCTCCAGCCCACAAGGCCATTGCTATAAATGGCAATTCGTTGGCTTCATTCACACAGGTACATGAGTGCACACAACCCTTCATAAAAGATGTCCCCAAGCAAGAGCCCCATTTTCCCAGGCATGGAAATGAGCACAGGGCTAGGAGATAGGAGGCTCAGATTCTACTCTCACTCTCAGTGTGACCTTCGGTGGCTCCTTTGCCTCTCTGGGCCTCTGTTTCTCTAATGTTGAGCTACAGTGCTTGAGCTAGATTGGAGGAACAGAAACCTCTGGTCAGGGGCTCCTTGCAAAGTAACTACTGTAGCCCCCCTCCCCCATCACCGCCCCCATGGAGCAGTCCCTGAGGCTCCACAGACCCATATCCAAATTCCTGAAACAGATGGGCGCCACCTGGTTCCCAGTCACAGCTGGGAAGAAAAGAAGATGGCATAGCCTTCTGACGAGCCAATTTGGCAGACCCCACCCTAACCTCACTCCCACCGCATGTCCCCTGGGCCCCCTAGGGGTCCACCAAAGCTGAGGGTCTGTGATGGCTCCTGGGCAGCTCCATGAAGCGCCCAGCAGGTACCCACACACCCATGAGGCAGAACCCTGGCTTTCTCCCAAGGGAGGGGCTCCTGGCTGTACTGAGGTGTGGGCCCCCAGTGAAGTTAGATGAACATCGAATCTGAGATGACATTTCTTTGAACAAACGACACTGCTCTAGCCTCAGGCTTTGACGAAGCAGGTTCAACCTCTCCCTTCTCCCTCGCTCTCCTTTGACAAATTCTCCAAGCTGCCCCCAGAGCCTACAGCCGAATGGCCGAGACCCCTGGCAACCCCGCCAGTGGACCCCAACAAAGGTTGAGGCCGAGGGGCCCATGGGCGCCCCCCGCCAGCAGCACCAGGCAGAATGGGAGGCTCAGGACTAGCCAGGCCCCCTCCCTCCCTGCATGCTGCATCCTGCCCCACCCAAGGACAGGCTTCACATGTGGATGGAGGAGCTCCCCAGTCCAGGAGCGGGGAAAGCGAGAGCAACACTGGACTGGAAAACAATCTGCAGTTTACAAAACAGTCTCCCCCCTCATCTCATGGGAATGCTGGCACCGCCCTGTGAGGTGAGCCGGGCGGGGCTGGCAACCCCAGTTTACAGACTGAGGAAAGAGAGGTTCAGGAAGATGAAGTCACAGCCCTGGGGCCACCAAGCCGGAGTGTGGCAAGACTGAACAAGGAGAAGAAGGGACTTTTAAGAGAGTGTCCAGACAACCCCTCCCTGAGGGGAAATGAGAGGATGGGGTGGCACCAACCAAAACTACCGCTACAGGCCTCGGGAGACCTGCTCTGGAATGAACGTGTGCACAGGTGTGGGTGCGCAGGGGGTGGGGTGCACAGGAACATGGACACAGGCAGGTATAGGGCTGTGTCCTGGGGGTGCATGGGTATAGGGAGCATGGGGGTGGGGGCCGTGGGCATGCATGTCTCCTACCCCTGCAATAGTGACTCTGAACCCCCAGAGAGTGGGACCCATCCATCTGTCCATTCATTCATCCAGTATTTTCTCTCTCTCCGGTGCCTACCAGAGTACTGGACACAGAGAGGCGCCCAAGAAAGACTGGCGGTCTTGCTGCCACCACTCACCCTGTGACCGCCTTGCCCAAGCCCAGACCCCTCCACCCAGACCTCCTCTCCCACTGAGGCCCTGTCTCCTGCATCACCTCACATTGCCCAGAGCTGTAAAAGCACTCCATCCGCTTTCCTAGAGCATCACATGGAACTGGGATGTCTGTGGCGGCTCTGTGAGGACACAGCTTTGGGACAAGCCCCCAACACCCTACTCCAGCCACCTCCCAGCCCCAGAAGGGCCACCTACCCAGGCCCTTATGTTCACCCATGTGTCTAGTGTCCACATCCAGCTAACCCCAGGGCCGGGCTCTTCTCAAGTAAAAAGTGTTCACAGTCTCCCCATCTGTCTCACACACAGGAGGCCCCCAGGCCACCAGCCTGGACAGGCAGCCTCCCCTCACCCAACCTCCATACTCCCAGCCAATTAACCTGCAGCCCAGGCCAAGCTGCTCTGTGGCCACTGTGGGAACACCCACTCCTTCCGGGGGAAGAGAGCTGGCTTGCAATCTCTCCCATCAGTAAAGCACTAACAAATGAAGAAATATTTACTCCAGATTTCATGACAACCCACAGCCTGAGAGACATCATCCTTACAGCAAAGAGAACCTCCTGGAGGCCAGGCATCCAGGTGCTCTCACTGCCCAGTGAGCCATTCTAAGTCTCATTATTTCCACTGCTCTACTCATTGACAACAGGAGTTCAGGCATTTTATAACCCTAAAAGCATGACTAAAACAAAAAACGTCAGATTCTCTTTAGAATACAGAGAAAAATAAAATGTACCAGAAACCCATGTAAGCTCATAACTGTAATTGAGGACATCTTTTAATTCTGAGCTTCCTGGGAGTCTTGGCAAAGAAGGAAACCAGATAGGTTCTGCTGCTTTTATCACCCCATGAAGAGAAGCACAGACATTCATTGAACTTTTTCCAAGACCAAATTCTTTTTTTTTTTAAGATTTTATTTATTTAT